AACATTTGCAAGCACCTACGGAATTGCGTGGCGTCATAACCCAGAAGTTATACATTCATCATCAGGGCGCTGAGGCTACATCGCCCTGATGATGGAGGCAGCAAGGAACTCTGAAACGTCCGTAAACTTATACCAGACTACACGGCGCAAAAACTCAGAAGTCAGCCATTTTTTTCGTATTCGTTTCCCCCAGGTTAGTAAAGATCTACAAAAAAGATCAATAAGATCTACAGTGTCTTATCTTACTTTGGTAACCGTGAGTGGAAGTTCACAAACAACAATATCCAAGGACTGTGGGAGAAACTAAATGAAAATGACAAGAAATTGATGACTTCGATATTGATGGCCTTGACTGGGATAATTATTGCTAAAACTATGTCGGGGGAATCAGGATATACCTGATGAAGGACGACCTCTCCACAGTTCCACATTGTCTCGTAGGTCAACTTTAAATTAATATTTATGATGTAGAAAGTATTTCCAGATAATGATAATAACAGAATCTGGAATTTGATATGTGTCTATTTTCACACAAATGAGCTGTTTTTAGAAAAATTGTAACTTATTTTCTTGTGGTATTATGAAAAAAGCGAGTATGTCCCTGAATGTCGTTGAAAAATGGAGAAACATAACATGCCTATGCGAAAATGCACATAACTGTACAGTCAGTTGCGTCTTTGAATGGATATTATTGTGCTTCAGTAACAAAAATTTTCACTTAATCCACCTGAGATTAACAGAATGCACTTAGACCAACCTGATTAATATACAGGCGTACCTCGTTTTATTACGCTTCGCAGGTATTGCGGGGTTTTTTTATACAAAATTGAAGGTTTGTGGCAACTCTGCGTCGAGCAAGTCTATCGGCGCCATTTTTCCAACAGCATGTGCTCACTTCGTGTCTCTTTGTCACGTTTTGGTAATTCTCGAAATGTTCTCGCATTGTTTTTTAGACATAATGCTATTGCACACTTAATAGACTACAGTGTAGTGTAAATATAACTTTTACATGTACTGGGAAAACAAAAAATTCGTGACTTCCTTTGTTGCGATATTTGCTTTATTGGGGTGTATTGGAACCGAATCCGCAACATCTTCGAGAAATTCCTGTATAAGATAACCCTCACTTTGTAACACTTTACATCGTAATTTTACTTTATGCAATTGTCTAACTATGCAACGCATACTAAATTTAATTCGAATGTAGATCTGGTGAGGTCTCTATCCTAGTCCTGGGCTACATTCTTTGTACTAGTTATAATTTCTGAAACAAAACTCTTACGTTATCATTCCCCGATTATGAGAGGCAACTGAAGATCACTGGCATAATGTCATGATGGCTGTCTGGACCTTCTCTCTCCTATTCTTTTCACAAGATCAGAGAAAAAATATGCAATCTGTTCTAGAGAACAATGACATCTTTAATGTTGCCCTCTGGCTTTTAGTGACCATTATGGTACGAGTTCTACAGTTGATACAGCCAAATGCCAGTATGAATACTACTCTCTTATGTAATAACTAATTATTTTCCATATATCTAATTAGTAAAGAGTAGAGATAAATACCATGCTGGAATACATTACAAATACGTAGATTTAATACCCTTCTTTGAAGTCAGAAATTAACAACCTACAGCCCACAAGCCAGATGCAGCCTACACCAACTTTTACTCAGCCAAAATTTATACAATTATTTACCTATACAGTTATTAAACCTTGTATTGATATCGAAATCAGATTGGTTACCTCAATGGAAAATATAGCAAATAAGATATGGTGCAGCAGCTGTTTATTAGCAGCATGTTTTAAGTTTTTCGGTTTAAAAATCTTACAATTTTTATGGTATTCTTTACAATGCTGACTGAAACAATTGCACGGCACATACGTAATAATGAACCATAGAACTCCAGTGCTTGACTGATGAGGTTTGATACAGTCGTAAAGAGATCATAGAATTTATTTGAAGAAATAGAAATAATAAAGTTTATGGACACAAAATAAAAAGAATAAATATTCCTACAACTGAATGATGAAAGTTGCTACATTAATCTCACTTTTCTTGGTGACTTTGCGTAACAACTAAGTGAAAAAACAACTCCATATACCAGAGTCGTATAAAATGGTGCAGCCTGTCAAAAGATATTTCCCGTTGTTCTTAAAAAATGTTGAGGAAAATAAATTCACATATTTTCCTGTTTCACAAAGAACACGCGAGTCTAACACTTAAAATAATTACAATGATACTCTTAGGACACTACAACAAGAAATCTGTAGTACTTTTCTGAATTTCATGATAGTAGTTAATGAAATTAAAATGTTTACTTATACTTTTCCTTTGTTGCTGAAGAACTCCAAATCCAGATTATCTTCAGCTAGAACTGACTGACTTACAGACTGATGAAGATCTGAAGAGACAAATTCATTACTTTGAAGGATGTCAATTTCTCTTTACTCTTGAGCTATGGCTAGTGAGAAGAGAAAACTGAAAATATGAAGGTACAAACCCCCGTTTCGTTAAATAAATGGGTATAGCAACACGCTTCTTGGTTGTGCTGGAAAGTATTACAGTGTTAAAGTACACACAGATCAGTACAAGCTGATGAATTTCCATAGAATAATTTTAACAAAAAAGTGATAGTGGAACCACGGTTCCGGAGAATTTGACGTAAATACTTCTATACGGAAAGGAAGATTATAAATTGTCTTTATTCTAAATATTTCCTTTATACCCGCTTTACAATTGGGTAAAGTTTGATTAAGACTTTGCTTATTTAACTTTAATTAGTTACGCTTAAGATGGGTCTGTGGTAGCTGAATGTAATGTAAAGTAATGTAATGTAATGTAAAGTAATGTAAAGTAATGTAATGTAATGTAATGTAATGTAAGGTAAGGTAACGTAAGGTAACGTAAGGTAATGTAATGTAAGGTAATGTAACGATATGTTTTATAGGTAACAACAATGCTAAGTAAACAGATGACGTTTCCTTGGTAACAATAATGCCGAGTGTACAATTGACGTTTGCTAGGTAACATAACAATGCAGTTACACTTTTTCGTTTCACTTTTTGCCGAATGACACTGACCCGAAAATATAGACGTATTTACGTCAAGAAGGGGATGAAACATTCGATTTATTTTGTTTTGAAGTTTGTTTGGACCAGGTCACCACTGCAATCAAGTCTGAAATACGTGTTTTTCATTGACCAGCTGAAGGAAATGAAGAAATATCATTCCCTGTACATACCTTTCCAAAACGTCTTGGAACATCAAACCATTTTCATAGTAAAAATGCCTATCAAAACGTACCGGGCCTACAATTTATAAGGCTGCGGTCGTGTTTGCATTACGTGGTCGGCCAGGGCTCTGTTGATGTGGGCGAGAGTGGTGCGCGTTCTTCCGGTGGGTGACCGGTGAATCAGTTTCAGTGCCGCTAGAAACAGTGGACTGTGAATATTTCTCGTCACTAATGCATGTTATTACATTAATAATGCGGGTAAATTGTAAAAGTTATGCAAATTTAATACGTAGACCCTTTTTCCAAGAGATGACCGATGAAGAAAAGACTTGAGGTTTCTTCATGCAAGACAATGCTACAGCTCACAGCTGATCGGCCGATGTTAGCATTAAGAGAAGTGTTTGGTGAACACGTTATCGTTCAGTGGCCGTCGCGTTCCCCAGACTTAAACCCGTGCGATTTTTATCTGTGGGGCATGCTGAAGAACAAAGTTTATGTAAACAATCTGCACACTGCAGAAGAACTTAAAGAAAATATTGAACAGTTGATTTCGGCAATTTCCCAAGAAGAGCTTCGTCGAGTATTTCTAAACATGTTAATGAGATGTGAAGCTTGCTTGCAATCACAAGGAAGTCAATTTGAACATCTTTTGTGATTTAAGATAAAAACAATTAATGTAATAACATGTATCAGTGACGAGAAATATTCGTAGTTCGCCGTTACTAGCGGCACCAAATCTGACTCGCCCTTGACTCACGCGTACAAGTCCCGCCTACGTCAACAGCAGCGGCCGATAACGCAATGTAGGCACGACCTCAGCCTCATAAATTGTAGACCGGGTAGCTTAAACTATTAGTATATTGATAGTCGATATATGTGTGACTGCTCTTGATCACTTACCTGTTCTTGCTCGCAAAATTCATCCCCTCAGAGTTCAACATAACATTCAGATATCACCCACAAACATTTTATGACAAAAACAGCATATTTTAATTAATTGTGAAAAGTAATTTACAAGCTTACGTTATTTACACGATGCTTACATCCCTAAGTTAATAGCCTAAAAACTACGTGACCTCCATCTGCACAGTAATCGTGATATGATCTCTCTGTGTATCAATTTTAGGCCACAGATTTGTGAATATAGCCTTTTTATATAGCATTCACCTTCATTTGAAAACATATAAAACAGCCAAATATTCTGAAATATGTTTAGGCACTTATTTATAAAATTCTGTTTAAAGTTTCATTTTTGTCCACCTACACATCAAAATTCTTTTTGACATCTAATCAACGTGAAAAAAAGAGAGATTTAATAAAATATTGTTTATATATAAACTAAAAGTAATAATCTTATTTTTGCATGTATTCTTAACAATAAAGTTTCTTCAATACTTATTACATACAATATCAAGTATCAACAGTGAGAGTTTCAGTGTTCGAAACAAGCAGTGCAAGGAATTTATTTTGTTTCTTTCAGATGGGAATCGTGCATCGCGACGTAAAGCCAAATAACATCTTGCTCGATTCTGATGGCCATATTGCACTTGCAGACTATGGGTCATGTAAACAGTTCGAACCACATGAAGAGGTAAGTTTAATATCCTCTTTTTCAGTTGGTACTTTTACCTTGAGGAATATGTAGCGTGGAGATTTAGGAGCTGTGTCGCCCACTTCATTTTCTTTCTTTTGTAGCAGCGTTCAATTTCTTTATGTAAACTCAAAACATATTAAAATGTTTTAACATTTCCAAGCAAATTATTAATATCACTTTCACCACGTAAGCAGGGAAGTCTACCTGTATCTCTTCCTAATAGCTTGTGGGAGTTTCTTTGGGTCATCCTTGAGCACAAATGTGCGGAGTCCCATGAGACCCTGCCTCAAGTACAGATCCCAATTCAGGTTACTGATGTTGAAGTCAAAAATCTTTCGGTCGTCTTCACTGAGCTTGTTCCACATATGAATCATGTTCTGGTTAGAAAACGCCCACTGTCGATTGCGGAAATATGAAGTGGTATCTAATAGCTGGTGTACTTTCTTGTAAGTCCTCATCAACCTTGATTATAAGCAAATACCCATTAGTTGTTCTATAGAATAAAATTTGAAATCTGTGTCTATAATTTCAGCATATTTATTCCAATTCTAGTTACAATTTAGTGTACCTGGGCTTTTGTCCAATGGCAAGCAATGCAGTGTCTCCCACTAGTGCTGGAAGAAGGTGAATCAGCAATGCATACAATTTGTACAAGACGTGCACATGTATCAAGGTGAGATTAACCATCCACACTGCATTATCAAATGGTACCTGCCAGCTGTGCTTAATGTTCTTGTTAATAAAGTCGCCCCAGGTAATTGGATTCTCACAAGACGACACGTAGTTGTATACAGGAATAGCTCCAGTGCCAGACCTGCTGAAGATAAGCGAAAAGTTAGCCTGTGTGAAAATTATCATCTTGCAGGGCAACTATCCCATGAAGGTACGTATATGATGAATGATGTTTCTTATTAATATATTTTAATCACATTCCAGGTGAATTACAAGTTCAGCTTTCATTTTTCTTGGGTAATGAATCTTGGATGCTGTTTGTTTTTATTGGTGTAAAGAAAAGTCATTGTAAACAAAATATAGGAATGGTATTAACCGAATACAATAGCACAAATCGCTTTACACTTGCAGTATTCTTCAAAACAATGAAATAGAATTGCAAATATATTAAGAAGCAGAAATTTGCACAACGGCAAATCACCACATTTTTTTTATTGAGTTTTGTATTTGGTGCTGAAGAAAGAGAAAATCTTGAGATTTAGGCTGGACTCACTTGAGTCGAGAAGTCATTGACTCTGGTGTCTCATTCCATGTGTCTCAAAATATAAACTAACTGAAGAATCTAATTACAAATGTTACTTGTGCCTTTATTTAAGATCAACAATTCACCTTCGCTGCTCATGAATATGCCAGGCAGAAGTCACGAGAGCATTAACTGCCATGTCACAGGGCACTATGTCCCCAACAAGTTTTCCGTTGGAGTATATGGTGCGAATCCACCCAAGAACCACGCCCACTACTATTCCTGTCGGTCCATATAGGTTGTCAGTCCACCCTGGCAAAGTCTCCCTTCTCGTACAGTAGACTAAAAGGATAAAATTCATAACATTGATCATTTGCAGAAACAGGATACAGCGAAGCTATCTGCCAGGCAAAGGTAGATCTCGTCTGGAATATTACACCATATGTCTGGTAGTGGTTGATCGATATTTTACGGGAGTTTACTGCCTGGAAGTAGTAAGTTTTTCTGAAATGTCAGGAAGAACCTATCAGAGTATGTTTCACAGAATCCCATAAATGAATGAAATTTATTCTTATGGCTATGAGAACCTCAATTGTGACTGTATCAACAACATTTTCATCCAAAAATACACCAGTTCTCACAGAATCCCATAAATGAATGAAATTTATTCTTATCGCTGTGAGAACCTCAATTGTGACTGTATCAACATTTTCATCCGAAAATACACCAGTTTCATCCAATACAATTTACGATTGTTAGAGTCGTAGCTTGAATATTTAAAGCAAGGAACATCTTGGAAATAAAATTGTAGAAATTGTGTTAGCTCAGTTGGATATAAAAATATCGAAATGGATTATAGATATATTTTGAGATTGTGAACAAAATAAAAAACAGCGTATTTCTGATGACAGTGCTGAAATCTTCAAAGCCCATACCGGTATAAAGTAACCTGATACACCTTCTCTAGAAATGCAATTTCTTATTTATGCAATTAAAAGTATTGTCTGTGTTGATTTCTTCCTGTGTACTAAAAGTCTTCCTAACCAAAATATTATTAAAACTTACAGTGCTCTTGTCGGTGAAATATTCTTCATTGCGTTGAAATTTAAGTTTCCCTAAATTATATTATTAGCCACTATAATATTTGTCCAATTGACAAGGAAATATAACCTGCAGTATACACTCTACTCACCGATGGATGGTCTGAACACTCCGACAGAAAGATCCTTGCCGACAGTTCTCACTATATCTTCAGCTATTGCTTTGGTGTAAGTGTACGTGTTCGGCCAGGCACCCAAAAGCCTATGTGAATCAAAGGAGAAATCAAAAAATTTAGAAATGCGCACATTCAAAAATATCCACAAGGCTTAACATCCATCAAACACTATTATTATTAGCCCACATTAAGAAATGGAACGAAATGTTTTTCCTGAATGAGTATATTTATTCTCATCAACTAATTATTAAATATTCCATATTTCTTTGGCAGACGAATAAACTCAGGCCGTATATTGTAATATACGTCAATACAATTTTCTATTGTAAGTTTAATTATTTAAAGCACACTACTGCCGACGTGTCACGTGTTTCAAATTAAGATATTCAGAATTTTCTTAACAAATATAGATTCCCCTTTTAATCAGCATGAACGATTTATTCTTTTCAAAGGAGACACAAAGTGTTAGCTATCCTTTAAAATAAAAAAGTTCTAAATAGCATTTAGATAAGCATTCTGTATTAAAACATAGGTTATCAAGCAGAAATATGTTTTAATTCATGAATGATAAACTTTATATATTATACGACATACAGATATACATTTAAGCCTACTATTAATGTCTGTTCATTACACCACTGCAATAAACCGGGCCCTCACATCGCTATAAAATACATCAAATATTTAAATATTAGAAGTTCAGCAAGAGAAAATTCTAAAGTCAGGACAAAAACAAATCTGCAAGAGACTCACTTAGGAGTAATGGTGGCCAAATTATTATCGTCGAGAATTTCGACTAACTGAACAATCCTCTCGACAGTGGTTGGCGGGTCGTAGAATTCTTCGTCGATGGATGGGCGGTTGCAGTGACTGAACACGGTGGATACATGAACCACCACCTACAGAAAAATCCCACTACACGTAAGAATGAAAATTAGCTAAAACTGATCTTCACAGAGCCATCACGAAACAAAATATTATCACAAAAATGTATGACGCCTCGCTGCATAAATTGTTCTGGACCTCATCATCTGTAGCTTATGTTTGTAGGAGCGTCTTTAACATTTCTTCCTTCTCCAACCATCGAAAGTACGAAATCTTTCTCCGGTACAAGACATTCTATGACTTCTTCAAGAGAGTTGAACTGTATAATTGCTAATAACATTCGGAACAAAGATATGGTGCCTTCAGGTAAAAAAATAAGATTATTGCACTGACCTTGATGTTCGGACAGTCCTGACATAGCAGTAGCAACTCTCGAGTGCCAACCACGTTAATGGCTGTGGCGATTTGCAGCTTCTCGTCGAATCGAACAGCGGCTGCCATGTGGAACACAATGTGCACATTATCCACGATGCGCTGTCTATCGCAAGGACTCAAATCCAGACCCGGTTTTGAGCAGTCGCCTTCCAGAATAAGGATCTTCTCTCGAAAGCCAGGCTGTACTTCCCTCAACTTTCTGAAAAGCTGCAATAATTCGGAGTTGCTTTTCTGTTTTTTTCGACTACAAAATTGAACAGTGTAATTGAATGAGACTGGAAATGAGGGAATAATTGTCAGGTGTATGTTTAAAGTGATCGTCCAGCAAATTGCAACTCCATGAAGCGAACCTACGCATTACGATCAAATCGAATAGTGGAAATCAAGTTCAATGCATTTGACCTGTGTAATGAGGAGTTATTCATCGCTCTGATGACGGTATGACCTCTGATACGTTCGTTAACATCGACCAGACTACACAGCGTAACAACCCAGAAGACAGAAATCTTCATACTCATCGCCCTGATGACGGAGGCAGTATGACCTCTGAAACGTTGGTTAACATCGACCAGACTACACAGCGCAACAACCCAGTAGACAGAAGTCTTCACACTCACCGCTGTGAAAACCTCAAATCTTACAGGAATTACTCCTTCAGTTGCTTTGTTTCCTGAACCGAACTTCACGTACAAGACGACCGATTCAGAAAAGCATGTTCAGGAACAAAGTGGCCGTTTAAGGAAAGAGGGGAAACATACCGATGTATATTTCGACATGTTAGAGTTTCACGCTCACTGACTATTCATATAATGGTAAAATCCAAGACAGACAAGTCTGTTGCTGGATAAAAGCGCAGAATTGAACTCGAAAGAGAAAATCCGTGAAATCGGCTCGAAGAACTGTCACACGTGCTCAAAAATTCCAAACGTGTTACGTTAGTAGGAGGAGTGCAAAGACGAATTTTCACGAAGTCAAATTTCCTTGATTCTATGCATAGAATACACCCCTAAAGTGAAGCCACGTGCTTCGGAAGCACCTTGTGTGTTGGCTGGCATTAAAAGTGTTGAACAATCCGTTCGCACTCACCGGGTCCTCGAAAATTTCCTGCATCCTGACTCCCACGTCCTTGCCTTTCTTGCTTCGGACCAGCAGGTAGATGCTGCTGAGATGTGGGCAGGACCGGAGCAGTTTCTCCACCAGAACTTTGCCCATGAAGCCAGTTCCACCGGTGATCAGAACATTGGCGCCCCGGTGAATTCAGAACATTGTACCATTTTTAAGCAATATTTCTTCGGAGACGCACAGTCCTTGGGAATTCCATAGAACGAAAGACTGTATTGAAGATAGTGATTTGAATTTTGAAACTTCATGTACGCAAAAACGTCTTTGCATCCAGCTTACTGTTTATCTCACACATTTGATCATTTTAGTCTTAATTTACGATTTTTGTACGGAAGTAATTTGAGGCGTTCAACGTCTTTTTCTCGGATATTTTTCCGAATTCAGTTCGGGATTTTTGTGCTTGTCCGTGTCGTTTCCATTTCACCTTATGCCATCCCCAATAAATAGTCGTTCTCATCGCAATGACCTAAAAGTTCTTCACGATTCGACTGTAGAATCGATGCATAGAAGTAATAAAATCAGTTTATTATGTTACTTGGTCCTTTTCTTTAATCATAATTTAATTACTTTAGGAAGAAATCAAAATCCAATGTCGATTATTATTGAAGAAATATTTCCGTACAAATTTAACAATCGCGAAAATCTGACTACAACTGGATGTGAAAGGAAAACGGCCGAAAGGGAGACCGAGGCAGCGATGGCTCGACACGTTGCATCAAGATCTGAAACAATCCGGCCTACACCCCAATCAGGCACACGATTGCGCCAAATGGAGTCAAAAGGCCAAAGTTTCGGACCCCCAAACCACACTTTACAAACGCTAAAGAAGAAGAAGATTTCCGTACAAATTTACCCACTCTTTATAAAAGTAACGTTAAGTGAACTTAAATGTAACTTTCATTAAGTGATTAAAACCACAGCCTTAGTAATTAATCCTGACAGAAAAAGAACGTTTCTGCAAAGTACGAATATGATCCACATTCACAATGGACGGCCGAATTTAAAGAGTCACCTTGTTCAAGGTTTCTCAATGATTGCAGAGGCGTGCCTTTGTATTAGGATTATATTTTCTCTATATTTTCTTCTTTAAGCATACAGCGACTTTAGCATGTCTATTATTCACCAATGACTGTAAGAACCCGACTTGACTTATACGTTTATAAGCAGCCATAGTCCGTGTACCTGTGATTCAAAGAAATTTCTAATTTTGCTTTCTTCTGTAACATGTCTTCCGGTAGCTAACTAACTAACTAACTAGATGGCTCAGGGAAACCGAATGTTCATCACCGAACTATCCAAAGCCCCCACCGGCCCCTGTACTAACCAAGCAGAATCCAATTTCCGTTGTCCCTCGGTAAATCGGAAATTTAAAGAAATTTCAGCAGAGTAACAACAGAATTTGAACCGATGACACTGTCCAAGACTTCCGTCTGTTATTCAGTTCCAGATTTTATTTATATCTGGAAGTGTGTAAATTGAATATAAACCTATTTAAGTCCTAGAAAATCAGTAACTTCAGGCACGCTTCACATCTTGCCGAAGTGAACAGACCCGTAGTCTTCAGCCTGATGGTGTCTTCCATTATGTACTAACGTTCTCCATGGTACTCAGACCTTCGTGAGAGGCCAAACGTAGCTCAGCCACTTAAGAAGTTCTCGGCATTGTACCGCACATAAAGGCCATTACCATCTTCAAAAGATCCCGCCATTTGCACTTGCCCTGAATCAGACGAAATCAGTCCATAGCATCCTATCCTATTTTTCTGGTTGATTTTCATATTATCTTCCCACAGACATCTTGGATTTCCCAGGCGTCCCTTTCGTACTGGATTGCCTACCAAAAACCTTTATGTATTTAACATTTTTCTTATGAGTGCTACATGCCATGCCCTTCTCAGCCATAATAACTGATTAAGTCTAATTATATTTGTTGTGGATTACAACTTATGAAACTCTTCAATGTGCAACTTCCTCCAGCCTCCTTATAATTCACCCCGTTTGGGTTCAAAATTTCACCTGAGCACACTGTCATATAATCCCAGTGTCAGAGAAAAATTTCCACAAAAATACAAAAAACTACAGGAAAATTTGTACTTTCGTACATTTTAATGCTTACATTATTATACAGCAGACAAAAGTTTCGAAAGTAAATGGTTAACAGGCTCTACTCCAATTTATTCTGTTGTTAATTTACTAAAAAATTAAATTTATTATCTTTATATTATAATTTTGGCCTGCATTCTTGTGAACGGGTATCAACACATACTTAATATTCACTGTATTACCTCTTATTTCACCCTTTTCTAACATATAATAGCATTAATCTTTAATACATAAGTGTTCCATCCATCCTCTCGCCAGTTAGTCTCTCCATCCTTGAAATAATTCTACCGGTAGTGACTACTCATCGTGTGTAAGGTCAACGAAGGAGCAATGTTGCAGTCCAAGGAGTAGATATTTGAAAAATATACATTCTTTAAAGATACTGTCCCCATAATTTATAATCTTAATCGATTGGTTAGGTTTTATTGCATATTTTTACACTTTACCTGAGTGATCCAGAAAATGATTGAGAGCTTGTAATGTGTAGAATAAAGTGTTTTCTGCACCTAATGAAATGAGTAAAATATATTTGAAAGATTAGAATTTTTGGTTGCATTATTATTAAGTTATATTATGGTACGTGATGAATTGACTCTGCAGTGTAAAATATAGAAATCACAGGTCCATTCTGTACACTTAATGCCCTCAATTAGTTATTCTACAGATTACCCACAAAACGTGAAAAATATGTTTACCCTATCTGATCTAGATCGTTGTATTTTCTAAATACCTCGTGGTTTTGCATTATAACTTCCAAAAAATTGGCCACTTAATGGAATAATTAGGTATTCTATGATGAAACGCATACTTTTTCTTATTGATATATTTTTCTCTTAAACCGTTCAGTCAATATATAAAGTGCCCGGGAATTCTATATCATGAGAATCACAAAGTGTTCATTTGAAAGATAATGAAGTACACTTACTTCTCCCAATATGTATTGATGAAATTTCTACACTTTACGCTTAGCCACGAACTTGGGACTTCACCTGAGAAGAAATGACGAAATCCGAAGTGATCTTGCCTTTATATTCCGTTTTTCTATTGCTGAATGATGGCGCCGAATTTAGTATACAGTCATTAAACAAGGATACCGCCATTTCCTTCGACGTAGGTTCATGACTATTCGTTCGTGATTATTTCAAACCTACTACATAATGTATGATTTAAGGTAATCATAGTATGACCTCTGAAACGTTGGTTAACATCGACCAGACTACACAGCGCAACAACCCAGAAGACAGAAATCTTCATACTCAACGCCCTGATGA